AATACAAGAATTCTTTTGTGAAAACAAGAGTTGAACATTGAAAGCAAGAATAACTTTCAGGAATTCATTGAGAAATTGCCCAAAATAGAAGTAACTTTTGATTTGGTTGTCGATAGTTGAGACTTAAGAACAAGATGGGCAATCAAATTAGGTACTTTAGTAAAATGTCCTTTACAGCTATGATTTTGAGTTGTCACTTTAGTTTGATAGCTAATGAAGGAGTTATAAAAAAAATTGTTTTTATTAACTGCAGAATTATACAGTGTGACTTGAGGAAAAAATAGGAAAGGAACATATATATATATATACACACATACATATCTATATATATATGAATATATATATATATGTGTATATATATGTGTGTATATATATGTGTATATATATGTATATGTATATATGAATCAATTGATTATAGATGTTACAAATAAACAAAGAGAAAAAGGTTGTAAATAAGAATAGAATAGTGGTAATAAATTCTAAATACTTGAAAGAAAGAGTGAAATAAAGTTTTTTTTCAAAACATACAGAAGTAGTTTTTTGAATTTTCAGCAATTTGTTTATTTTTCTATGGTTTTGTATGTGAAATTTGTGAAAGAATTAGTAATTAAAAATAGAAAAATTTACATTTTCCTCTGACAAAAATAAATAATTAAAAATAATAATGAGGCATTAATTAAATCAATCAATTTTAATCTTCTATAGAAATAATATATGATGACATTGGAAAGCACTCACAGAATGCTAGCTGACTGATACTCTTTAATGAAGAAAATACTATTATGACTATTGGGGGTGGATTTCTATCTGTAGAGTGATTATAAGAACATAAATTATCAAATATAAATAGATTGAATTTAACTGTGTTAAAAATGTAATGCTAACAAAAACCGTAAGCCAACATAATGTTGACTACAGGGAATATATGTAATATTTTTCAAAATGCATACTGAGGAAAGACTAAAATTAACTTTTCTTCAAGTAAATATATAAAATCACAACTGCAATCATTACAGAGGACAAAGCTTAACTTAAAATAAGAATTAAGAAAAATAAACTATTAGGGTTAACTTTTCCATTACTAATGGGGTAATATCAATGGTAAACATGTATGCACCTAATTATATAGCAACTAAATTTATGAAGGAATAATTACTGATTTTTAAAAATTGGATAGAAAGCAATGAATGAGACATTTTAACTAAGGAACTTTAGTTATTTAAACAAAAGATACAGAAGAATGAAGTTATAGAGTGAAAGAGACTATTGAAGAAACCGGATTTAATAGACATATGTAAAGAAGTACACAGAAAACAAACAAATAAGCATTTAACGGGTAGGAAATATTTATCACTTTGTGGAATATGAAACTCTTAGCCAAAGTCAAATGTGTTAGAATTTAAACCCAGGTCATTCTGACCATAAAACCAGTTTTCCACATTGCCTCTCTACATTACTATGTACAATAACATTTTTTTTTAAATTTGTGTATTTGAATACTTTTTTTGTATTTACTAACTTTATAATTAAAAACAACAATATCTGACTAATTAAAACACAAGTAAAAGTTCACTTTAATTTATTAAATCAAAACTTTTTTGAAGTTCTCATGATTTGAACTGTTTCTTCCTTTTTGTATGATCATTCTACAGGTTGAAATCAACCCTAAATAGATGGTATTAGGCCTTTGATTTCATTGGCATAGGGAATTCCCAGTGAAAGAATTTCCTCAATCCTCATATTGGTACCTTCTCTGCTCTTCAGTGAGCTATATGTCAGAGGCACACAATTTTCTGATCCAGAGACCAGCTCAGTAATCAAACTGCTATTGCCTCTACAATTTACAGTGCCAATTACAATTGACTATGAATAGAAAAAACAAAACTGACCAAACAAGTAAAAGAGCACTACTCAAGACATAAAATGAACAAGAATTGTATTTCCCAATTTTGTTTCTTTTAAAATAATTTGCTATCTAAATAAGATTTTTTTAAAAATATCAAATTGATACACTTTTGACCCCAAGGATATACTACCCAACATATATAACCTCCAGAATACTCTCCGTGAAAAATATTAATTGTGAATGATTTGTAACAGAGACTATGGCAATTTACATTTGCATAGTTTGCCAAATTAGAGTTGCATTATTATTAGAAATACTAAAAAAAATATATAAAGAGAATTATAAAATGAAACAAGCAATGAAAAGGCAGAAGCAAAAGAAGCAATATTTTGTTTCCCACATTTCCTTAGACAAATTTCTATGGGAGTTTTCAGTGTAAAAATATTTCCTTTCCTCCCCTTAATTCATCATACTGAAAGATAAGCAAAAAAGTGTCCACAATATTCTCAAATCAGAGTATTTTGTTGTGCTTCTATTCTTTATGGAATGCCCTGTGTGAGGTTTTTCTATTTTCAAGAAACAAGTGAATTTATTCTATGTGATATTTCATTATCTACCCACTTATAAAATTGTTTTTATGCTATTCATAATATGAGAAAATTTCCTTACCAAGCTTTCTGAAAATGGAAGGAGCTGCTTTTCGATGTAGTGATTTCCCCATCACTAGTGGTCTTCAAATGGCTACTGGATGGCAGTTGAGGGGAGGGGTTGTCTAGGTTCATAGGATCATAGATTTGGAACTGGAAAGAACCTGGGTTAGCATCTACTTCATCTACCTCATTTTACATTTGAGGAAACTGAGCCCAGAAAGACAGAGATTTGTCTAGAGGAATCAGTGAGGAACTCACTGTCACATTCCAGATGTCCTGACTCCCAAGGTATAAACTTTCTAACACATCATAATGGCTCTATATCTCACTCTGATTCCAGGAACAAAGTTATGAGAAAGAGAGACAAGAAAATAGAAAAAAAAAAACCCTGACTCTCCAACTATCTGTTGCTATCAAGATCTGAAATAAAACCCAGTGATATAAATTGATTTTGGTTTTTTGTTTGGGTTTATTTAGATGTGTTTATTGATGAGATATGTTTATAATTCCCTAAAAATTAATGTAATTTGAAACAAATGCTTGCTGACATATGAAAATATTTTATATCATAAATGTTAATATTTAAAATGTCGAGTTCATATTATTTCTCTATGTATCTATAGTAGAAATCTTGACAAAATTATTCATATTTACCTTTGAATAATACTCCTCTATGTTTCTGAACCTTTGAGTTCTTTCCTCAGTTAGATACAAAAGCATATATAACTGTGAATCAAAATAGATGTCATAGCATCTCTACTCTGAGGACATCCTATAAGTACATATAGCACAATGAGGGCTACCAACTCCATTTAAGCAAGCTTTATCCTGAATTCGTAATGGTGTGTGAAAAGATTCTCCATCCTCTGTGGCAGACATTTGGGAAAACTGTCCAATGTTTTATGTTGTAAGTGGTTCCTAAAGGAGTAATTAAATAAAATGATTCCTTTGTTAGGGCCTATGCCATAAGCTGTGTTTATAGGAAGGCCAGGCCTGATTCAGGCCTTTTATACTACTTGCTCTTTAGTGATCCTCAAGCAGAAGTAATACAAAAGGGTGTACTCTATTTGCTGCTGATTAATAAGTTCTTAAAGATGCCAGACAGCTTTATCAATGCTTGCTTGACTTTGGTAAATAATAAGAACCTATTTTTGTATCTTGTTAAGTTGACTTTAGTATCTCATATGTGTTTGTCTTCTTTTACTTCCCTACATACAGGATATGCTCTAACCAAAATAGATTGTACATGATCCCTTAAACCTTATGTGGTTCCCCACCCCTGCCTGTACTCTCTCACCCCTGGCCACACTTCAAGGAACACTGTGGCTAATGGATTGTAAGTGATTTACCCAGGTTCACAGAGCTGCTTCCACAAAACTATTTTCTTTCTTTTGGTTAAAAATTCTGATGCTCTTGAAGTTCCCACATGTTCCATATTGAAGAGTCAGAAGTTGATTCCTTTGGTTTTCTCTTCAATTCCAGCCCAGTCTTAAATCACCCAGTACAGAATAATTGGCATCATTAATACTTATGATTGACCTTTAGCAAATAAAAAGTATTGTAGGGGCTTCAACACCTTTGAGAGAAGAATATAAAGTGGAATTTCACTTTTAGTAATGTCCAGGTCTTTCACAACAAAGTCACTCTCTTTGGCTTACTAGTCATAATTTCTGGGTAGCAAGACTCACTCTTGACATGTTGGGGTTTCAATGGAATCCACTGTTACGCTTCCTAAGTTCTCTTGCAGTCTGGGGACATTAATTCCAGTAGAACATGCTATTGATTTTCTTTAGGTCAAAAATAGACTTGAGGGGAAAGTTTTGCAGAAGGGTGACTAGGGCTAAAAACATTTCCATCTTAGCCAAGCTGTCTCTCAGAAAGTCCTGTTTTCCTTAAAGGAGACAAGATTTTACTCAATGGTTTTCTTGTAGAAATTCAATTTTATACTTCCTGCCAACAAGGACTGTTGCTTGGATGATATTTTTTGACTTGATAATCATCTTCGCAATTTTTGTATTGAATCAAGTGACAACTAGTTATTGCTATTATCTCTGTTTTGAAAAGCCAGCTTGCTACTGAACAGTAAACTGATACTTATCTAAGAATTTTTCTTGACACGTCTCTTCAGCCTTAAACCATCTTCTCCTTTTAACATCAAGATAGCATTCTTAAAGAAAAAAAATGACTCATGGCACAGAGTGAGCTCCAGTGAAAACAAGTGAATCAGATTTATTGAACTAAAACTTTCCAAATATGCAGCATGATTTAGAGCCTGAAGATGCTTAGGGTGTCTTCATGCCATTCATGAAGGTATACAAGGAGTTCTTTAATCTATTGCCTTTCCTTGTATATGTGTATAAGAATTGGAATCAGTTAAAAGACAATGATGAGTGTATTACGTTTCCCCTCAATAGGATTGGTTAATTTCAAGAGATAAAAGATTTAGGATCTTGGCGAGAAAGGAATAGAATTTGGATTGGATTTGAAAGGTGACTTTTTCATCCTTAGCGGGGAAGAAGGCACAGCTGGAACTTTGGAGGAACAGTAAAAAGTCCAGTAGAACATGGCTTGATGTTGATTTCCTTTGTATCAATGGTACTCTTGAGGGTAAAGTTTTGCAGAATGGTGACCAGGAATAAAAACAATTCCATCTTAGCCAGGCCCTCTCCTACACAGGCCCTTTTTCCTGAAAGAAGACAAGATTCTCTTCAGAGGCCTTCATGTACAAATCCATTTTTATACCACCTTTCCCAGAAAATCTTATCTGAAGCACCTCCCCCACACCCCAATAGAATAGCACCTTGTTAGTACCTAATTAGGAAGCTAGGTGCCACAGTGAACTAGTACGGTGGACTTGGAACCTGGAAAAACTGATTTTACATCTGACCTTAGGCACTTTCCAGCTGTGTGACTCTGTACAAGTCATTTAACTGCTTTCAGCCTCAATTTTCTCATCTGTAAAATGGGGAATATTATAGCACCTATCTTTCCAGGGGTGTTGAGAAGGTCAAATGAGATAGCGCACTCTGAAACTTAAAGCACTGTATAATAGCTATTATGTTGTTACGTATTATTAGTACAGTCTTCATGCATTCATGCTGTTCTTTTTTTAGTATAATTTTTTCTTTCTTCTACTTATTTTATAATTTCCTAGAAGTTACAGACTGTCTCATTAGTCTTTGAATACATTTCTTTGTCAAGAACAATGGCTTTTATTTTTAATTTTTTGATCTTCATCCATGATTTTATCAGTATGAGGATTTCCCTAATAAGAAAATTTCTTCTATCACTACAAATAAGTAACTGTTTTGCACCTTAAAGTCTAAATGACTTGCTTAGAGTCGCACAACTAGGATGTATCAGAGGCAGGACTGAATTAAGTTGATGTTAAAGCTGACTCTTTCCCTCCACCATACTCCCTCTGCACATAGATCTTATATATACTATATGAAGTGCTTTATAATATTTTTGTTATTTGGATGAATGAATGAACAGGTAAATGATCTAGGATGAGCACTGATAAACATGTCAAGATAGTGGTAATGAGAGAAAATATAAGGCAACTTGTATCAGATAAACTCAATTCAATTATGATCATTAGGCAAAGGAGTAAATAAATAGTGTTATACAACTCTTTCTATTTCCCACTCATGTGCTCTAATTCCATAGTGTGGTATGAGTCAGTTAGTTCCCTAATAAGCATGTATTCAGCCCCTATTCTGTGGCAGCCCTGTTGTAAGAGCTAGGTTACATATAAAGGCAAAAGAAAGGAAGCAGTAAATACTCTTCAGGACCAAGCTAGTTTGCTGAAGTGTTCTGGGGTAATACCCAATCATATTGGTTACAGAAAGAAAAGAAGTTTGTGAGCATCGGTGACAGATGTGGAAAGAAAACAGAAATGTTATTTAGAATACATTGAAGAGCAGCCAAATGGAAAGGTGTTGTAGAGACAGATTCATTTCAAATTTACAGGTAAAGATGAGGAAGAAAATATACCTATAGAAAAAGGCATGAAGTAGTCACTCTTCCTAAAACTGCCATCCTTATTCAGGAAGTGCCCTGGGTCAAATTCATGTGGGTTAGGGAATTCTTTTGGGTCAAACAAGACAGAGGAGAGCAATGGGAGCACGGTTGTACCCTGGAATAAAGAAATAACAGTAGTTAGTGGATTAATATCTTGGTCCAGTGCTAAGCACAGTGCTTTGAACATAGCAGATGTTTATTAAGTGCTTAGTGACTGAGTATTGACGACCAAATTCTTTAAGCCTTCAATGAAGAGAGAGAAAATGTTAACAATTCACCACAGATTTTAACATTGAACAGTAAACATAGCATGACACACAGGGTGTGAGGACACATGTGCCAAACTCATCCTAGTTGTCTAGGAGGCCCAAATGGGAGAGCACATACGAGGTTTTCTATCCAGGTACACTGAGTACCATTAAAGACAAAGGTAGAGCTCAGTGGCCCAATTTTATAAGCTCTTCTATCGTAGACATGACCTCAGTTTTGGAGTAATTGCGTTTGAGATGTTTAAGGATTATTCAGTTTGAAATAGACAATTGGCAATTGGAGCTGTGTGATGGAGCTCAGGAAACACATGAGGATTGGCTATATAAATCTAGGAGTCATCAACATGGAGATGAAAATTAGTAAATAACCTTTTTAATTTTTCTACATTTTATCTTATGATTCTGTTTATCTCTTTTCTGATCGTAATTTTTTTTATTCCATAACTATATAAGTGATCTTTTCCCTTGTTCCACTGACGTATTTAAAATGCAACCTTATAAATCTATGCCACATATTCATTTGTTCCCATGTATTCACTTATTGTGGTGTATGAGATACTAATGTAAGCATAATTTCTGCCAAACTACTTTCCATTTTTCACAGTTGTTTTAATATGTGATTTCTTGAAATAGAGTATCTGCTCCTTTTCATGTTTGAAGTTTTCAGGTCATCTCCTGACTCTTAGATGATATCTTCTCAACCTGTTTTCTAACTTTTTTTTTTATGGTGGATATCTAACATTTTGTGATTTTTTTTAATCTTTGAATTTTGTTCTGGTATTTATTGTTGACTCATGGAATCATTTCATTTTCTTGACTAATTTAATTTTCAGGGAATTTGGTGATTGGGTAAGTCTCTATACTCATTCCTTTTCCAATTCTTTCCTCAAGACCAATGGTTCTTAATCTGTTTATTTGTCTTGTGCCACTTTGGCAGTCTTGTGATGTTTATGGACACCTCAGAATATTGTTTTTAAATCCATAAAATACAATACATAGAAGAAATCAATTTTATTGAAATAAAGATATAATATTTTCCATCTAAGTTCATTGATACATTGTGATCTATTTATAGACCCTAGAGCACCTCTTAAAGATCTTTTCTTTCATTTATAATATTTTAAAATAGTTTTTGTTGTCTTTTACTTTACATCACTATAGCTTCCCTCTATAACCCTTCTCCTAGCCTGCCAAGAGAGATGTCTTATACATAACAAATAGTATTTTTTTTAGTAAGGCAAAACATTTCCACAATAGTCATGTTGTGAAAGAAAACATAGACAAAAAAAAACCCTCAAGAAAAATAAAGAAAATAATAAAAGTATGTTTCAATCTATATTCAGAAACCATCAGTTCTTTCTCTGGGGATGGATAGCATTTTTCATTGTAAGTTCTTCAGAGTTGTCTTGGATCATTGTATTGCTGAGAACAGGTAAGTCATTCACAGCTGATCATCCTAAAATATTTCTGTTACTTTGTATACAGTACATTTTACTTTGCATCAGCTCATGTATGTCTTTCCAGGTTTTTCTGAGAGCATCCTGCTCATCATTTTATATAGTATAATAGTATTTGATCATAATCACATACCACAATTTGTTCACCTGTTCCCCAGTTGATGGACATCCCCTCAATTTCCAATTCTTTGCCACCAGAAAAGACCTGCTATAAACATTTTTGTACATATAGGGCCTTTTCCTTTCTGTTTTTTTTAATCTCTTTTTGAATACAGACCTAGTAGTGGCATTGCTAGATCAAAGGGTATGCATGGTTATATAGCCCTTTGGGCATAATTCCAAATTGTTCTACAGAATAGTTGAATCAGTTCACAACTCCACCAACAGTGCATTAATGTCTTATTTTTTCCCACATCCTCTCCAACATTTGTCTTTTTCTTTTTTTGTCCTATTAGCCAATCTAATAAGTATGAGGCAGTACATCAGAATTGTTTTAATTTGCATTTCTCTAATCACTAGTGAGTTAGAGCATTTGTTCATATGGCTATGGATAGCTTTGATTGTTTCATCTGAAAACTGTTCACATCTTTTGATCATTTATCAATTGGGGAATGGCTCTTATTTTTATAAATTTGACTCAGTTCTCCATATGTTTGAGAAATGAGGTCTTTATCAGAGAAACTTGCTTCAAAATTTTTTCATTGTTACTTTTGATAACTGTATTTCCCTCCATCCTGTCCTCTCATTTATTCTATTGTCTCTCTCCTTTCACTCTGTCCCTCCTCAGAAGTGTTTTGATTTTGACTAACCCCTCCCCTAATATGCTTTCTCTTCTATCACTCCCCCTTCTCTTATAACCTTCCCAGCCTACTTTCTTGTAGGGTAAGATAGATTTCTGTAACCAATTGAGTATTTATGTTACCTGCTCTTTTAGCCAATTCTGATTAGAGTAAGATTCACTCACTCCCCTTCACTTCCTCTTTCTTCCCCTCCAATGTAAAATCTTTCTCTTGGCTCTTTTATGTGAGATAATTTATCCCATTCTTCCTCTCCCTTTCCTTTTCTCCCAGCACATTCCTCTCTCATACCTTAATTTTATATTTTAAGATAGAATTCTTCATATTCAACTCACACTTGTGCCCTCTGTCTACGTATACTCTTTATAACTGCCCTAATAATGAGAAAGTTCTAATGAGTTATAAGTATCATCTTCCCATGTAAGAATATAAACAGTTTAAACTTATTAAGTCCCTTATGCTTTCCCTTTTCTGTTTACCTTTTTATGCTGCTCTTGAGTCTTGTATTTGAAAGTCAAATTTTCTATTCAGAACTGGTCTTTTCATCAAGAATGCTAGAAAGTTCTCTATTTCATTGAGTGTCTATTTTCCCCCCTGAAGATTTATAACCAGTTTTGCTGGGTAGGTGATTCTTGGTTGTAATCCTAGCTCCTTTGCCCTCTGGAATATCATATTGCAAGCCCTTCAATCCTTTAATGTAGAAACTGCTAAATTTTATATTATCCTGACTATGGCTCTATGGTACTTGAATTGTTTGTTTCTGACAGCTTGCAATTTTTTCTCCTTGACCTGGGAACTCTGAAATTTGGCTACAGTATTCCTGGGAGTTTTCATTTTGGGATCTCTGTGTGGAGGTGATTGGTAGATTCCTTCAATGTCTATTTCATCCTCTGGTTCTAGAATATCATGGCAGTTTTCCTTGATAATTTCTTGAAAGATGATGTCTAGGTTCTTTTTTTTGATCATGGCTTTCAAGTAGTCCAATAGTTTTTAAATGACCTCTCCTGGATCTATTTTCCAGGTTATTTATTTTTCCAATGAGATGTTTCACACTGTCTTCTCTTTTTTCATTCTTTTGGTTTTGTTTTACTGTTTCTTGATTTCTCACAAAGTTATTAGCTTCCATTTGCTCCACTCTAATTTTTAAGGAATTATTTTCTTCAGTGAGGTTTTGTAACTCCTTTCCACTTGGCCAATTCTATTTTTTAAGAAATTTTTTTCTTCAATGAATTTTTGTGCCTCTTTTTCCTATTTGGCCAATTCTTCTTTTTAAGGCATTCTTCTCATCATAGGTTTTTTGTACCTCTTTTACCATTTGGCCTACTCTGTTTTTTGAGGTGTTATTTCTTCACAAGTTTTTGTTACTCCTTTACCAAGCTGTTGACTCTTTTCTCATGGTTTTCTTGTATCACTCCCATTTCTTCTACCCCTCTTACTTGATTTTCAAAATCCTTTCTGAGTTCTTCTATGGCCTGAGACCAATTCATATTTTTTTTTCTTGAAGGTTTTGGATGTAGGAGCTTTGACTTTGTTATCTTCTTCTGAGTGTGGGTTTTGATCTTCCTTGTCACCATAGTAACTTTCTATAGTCAGAATTTTTTTCTGTTATTTGCTTATTTTCCCAGCCTATTACTTGACTTTAAACTCTTTGTTAAAGTAAGGCTCTGCTTCCAGGGTGGAGGGGGCACTGTCCCAAGTTTCAGGAATTTTTTGCAGCTGTTTTCAAAGGTACTTCTAGGGACCTGTAAGTTTTCAGTTTTTCCAGGGTGGTATGATCTAAGGAGAGGTGTGTTTACTACTCTCTTGGTCTGTGCTCTGGTCTGTGAAGTACTACAAGTACTCTTTCATGCCCTGTCACTGTGAGTGGGGTCCTCCCTCCACTGTGGTCACAAGCTCTGGTGTGCTAGTGCTCCTCCTTGCCCTGGGACTGTGCCAAGGACTGCAGCCTGGGTCTGAGCATGGGCAAAGCAGCAGAGTTCTGCCCCCACTTCCAGCAAAGAGACCTCTGTAATGGCCTTGTAACCAGGTGTTTAATCCTTTTATCATCTGTGGGTTGAGAGCTCCAGAAGCAGCCACTGCTGCTGCTTCTGATCCAGTGGCTCCCAAGGCCTGCTCCTGGTTTGCTGGGGCCTGGTCTTCACTGATGTGGCCTGTGCTGCACTGTGCTCCACTCTCACCAAGGTGCAATAGAACTTTCCCACTGACCTTCTAGCTTGTCTTTAGGGTCTGTGGGCTGAGAGGTCTGGAAACCACAACTGCTGCCACTGATTCAGTTGCCCTGAGGCCTGCTCTTGGTTTACTAGAGCCCAGTCTGTGCTGGACTGTGTTCTTCTCTCACCCTGGTGCAACAGATCTTTCCTGACAACCTTCTAAGCTGTCTTGGACTGGGAATTTGTATCACTCGTTCTTTTGGTTTGTTCTGCTGCTCTAGAATTTGTTTAGAGTCATTATTTAAAGGTATTTTGAGAAGTTTGAAGGAATCCCTGCCTTTACTCCACCATTGTGGCTCTACCTCCACACATATAGTATTTTTAAATACAAAAATAAAAATAAAAGATGATGTAAAACAGGATAACTGAACAATTGATTGATGTCCTCCACATCAGAACCCCACAGGTTTCTGTTTCAGGGTCAGAGTAAAACAGCTGTGTATTTCCATCTTTACTAGTTAGTCTGGTTTACTAACTAGGTGAACAGAATTCTAAAAGTTGGGATTAGAAGCAGGATTTTTCTTTTTGGAGCATTTTTCTAGTGACCAGACATTTGTGGTTTTTTGTGTGGAACTGGGCAGGCAAAATACATTTGTATTTTCTCATTTAATTTATGTCATTAATTAGTCTGATATTATTTATACATATTTGCTAATTTACTTGTAAGAAAAATGGGCTAACCTGTTTCCACTTTCTCCACATTAAGGAAAGTCCCACTGATTTTATATTTTCTAAATGTGTGAGCAAAGGCTTATAACCAGAGCTCTGGGTTTGCAGAGATCATATTCAGTCTTGAAGGAATCTCAAATGCCATTAATTTTCATCATGGTGAAAGCTTATAACCTAAGGTTCATTCACCTATAATCACTAATTCTAAGCTGGTGGAAATAATAGATAAAAATCCATGGTCTCATTTTCCTAAGGAGTAAAGCTCTGTCGAGGGCCTCTGCTCCTTAGGAAATTCAACTGCTAGAGTATTGGTTAGAATAATGATGTTCTACATATCTGGTTCCTCTATAGTATTCAGGCTTATGTCCCTCTGATTGGAGCAGTAATCTTCCCCAACTCTCAAGTGGCATGAAAGCTCCCCTTCTGAATTTTCCATATTTTAATTCAGGGGCTCTAGTTATAGGTCATATATCATCAATCATACATCTGCATATCCTAGATAGTTCTTGGAACATTCATTCTTGGCTCTTCTATGATCCTAACCCCCTAGTTACTGGGGAATCCAACAATAACCTATATGGGTAACAGATACTTGTGATACATCATATTTGTAAGGTTGCTGCTGTCTTCTGCTTTGTTTTTTTTTTTTAAGTTTGTCTGATTATCTAGTCTTTCTGCAATGAGGAATACGGCTTCTTCCCAGCAGTCTAATTTGTTGTGTTTTCTCAGCATAAGAGGACATTATCCAATTGAATTTTCTGACCATAAATTCAAGTGCTATACTGTTCTCTGTGCTCTTCTCAGCAAAGGCCATAATGAAGTGTTAGGTTTCTGTTTTGACATCTGATCTCTCAGGAAATGACTTCAAGCTAATATATCTTTTCCATTCACAAAACCCCAATACATAGACAAATACCTAGTCATGACTCTCATGCAGGCAGGCTTGTGCCTAAAATGATGAGTACAGCTAGTTATAGCTAGAGAAGACTGTGAGCATCAGGTTGCTGTTTCAAAGTTAAATGATTGGTAGAGTATAAGCGATTATTATTATTTTTTTATGGTGGGGGGAAGAGTCTAGATCTATGATTTCATCTGTGTAGGGAACACTTGTTGCAGAAATTACTAATAGTCATCATCACCTTAGCTGTACTTTATAAGACCTGAGGATTGCCTGGGAAATGAGTAAACTGATTTTCCAATGGCCACACAACCATTATGAATCAGAGACAAACTTGAACAAAGATATTACTAACACCAAGGTAGACTGTCCACCTGCTATGCCCTATTATCTACCTCTCTGTAGGTGTTAAAGAGTATAGAGAAAATATTGGCTTTTGTTATTTCTTCATCAATATTTTGAAAATCAAGGAAGATTAAAGGAATGCATATTTATTTCACATTTACTGAAAAATATTACTCACTTTGGTGATGGGGTAGATATACAAATGAGAAGTTTGTGGGCAAGATTCAGTAGGGTGATGTAGATGCCAGGGATGTGCTCCGAATGGATCTTGTCTTAACTGAAAAGACCACTTCAGTTGGAAAAGTTGTCTGCTATCGCTATTAAGTTTATACCACTACTTTACTCATGTATTCCAACCAACAAAGAGCAAAATGATGCAATGGATATGAAATTGATCTTGAGTTAAAGTTTCTTTCTGGCATACATTAGCTGTGTAATCCAGGATAAATTGCTTAATCTCCGAGTGCCCCCAGTCATTAACAATAGATCACAGACTCATTAGAGCATGTGCTGGGTTCACGCTTTACGAACTTGCTAAAATTTGTACATCAAGTTGGTTTGGGATTCAGACTCAGCTAGGGTATTTCTGTCATGTCCTGCCTTCTTACCTTAGGTATGAAGTACTGTTGGAATTGGGTGTCACAGGTTACCTGATGGGGCAAACTGAAAGGGGTAAGATTAACATATCTCTGTATCTCATGCATCACGGCTTCTGTATAGGGCATCTCCAGTTTGTCTTTAATAGAAGGAGTTCTATGTTGTCCAATCACTCGATCAATTTCTTCATGAATTTTATCTGTATTGACAGAAACAATGACCCATTTTGTGTTTTCTGAAAAACTGGGAACATTGAATTAGCAATTCTAGGAAGAATGAGAGTATTTTTTATTCCTCACTATTATTCCCTCTGAAATGTCCTTAAGTGGTCAAAAATTTGGTCAAAATATTTGATCATATTATTCCTGTACTTAATAAACTCTAGTGGCTCCTTATTGCCTTTAGGATAAAACAGAAACTCCCCTGCTCAGCTTTTAAAGCCCTTCATGAAAAACCCCTTATCTTATCAGCTTCATTGCTTAATTCTGAAATCCAGCTAAACTGGTGTTCCTTTTTTCCCTTTTGAATGGTACTCCATCTCTTATCACTTTTTTGCCTTTTTTTTGCCATTCTCATACTTGTAATGTGCTACCTGTTTCCCTTTGCTTCATAAAATGTCTCCTTTCAAGATGAGCTCAAGTTTTATATGATGTCTTTCCTGAACCTCCCCAATTTCTGCGTTCTACTTACACTTAAGCAGTCAGCCAGTCGGTCAACTAGCATTTATTAAGTAAATACTATATCCCAGGTGCTGTGCTAAGTCTTGGGGTGACAAATAAAGGCCAAAGACAATCTCTGCCCTCAAGGAGCTCATAGATTATAGGGGCAACAATGTGTAAACAATTATGTACAAGCAAGAGATATACCGGATAAATTGGAGGTAACCTCAGAGAGAAGGGACTAAGGTTAAGGAGAATTGGGAAAAGTTTCTTACAGAAGTGAGATTTTAGCTGATTTGAAGGAAGCCAGGAAAACTAGGAAGCAAAAATGAAGAGGGAGAGGGTTTCAGGAATGGGAAGACAGCCCATCAAAATGCCTAGACTCAATAGATGGAGTTTCTTGTTCATGGAATAACAAAGAGGCTGGTGTCACTGGATAATGGAGTTCATGAAGGGAAGTAAAGTGGAAGAAGACTGGTAAGTTTCCAGGTTGTAAAGGCCTTTAAGAAGCCAAACAGATAATTTTTATATTTGAGCCTGGAGGAAATAGGGCACCAGTCAAGTTTGTTGTATAAGGAGGTGACATGGTCAGACTTGTGCTGTCCAAAGATCAATTGGACAACTGAAGAATGGGTTGATTGGTTTGGGGACTTATGTCAGGGAAACAAATGACAGAATACTGAAATAGTGGAGGCTTAAAGTGATGAGGCCCTGAAACAAAGCAGTGTCAGTGTTAATGTCAGTGTCAGAGGAGAGAATGGGTGTGTTCATGAGCAATGTCACAAAGATAAAGATAATAGTACTTGACAATTGATTAGTAATAGGGGGTAAGAGAGAATATAGAATTGGAGACAACACCTACATTGTGAGCCAGAGTGACTGGTAGGATTATAGTACTCTTGACAGCTACAGGGAAGTGAAGAAGTTAGGAAGGAGAAAACTTACTGGAGAAAGATAATGTTTTAGTTTTGGACATGTTGAGTTTAAGATGTCTATGGGCCATACAGTTTGAAATGTTTAATAGGCAATTGGAGTTGTAAGATTGGAGACAAGTTAGGTTTGAACAAGGATATATGAGAGTCATCTGCATAAAGATAATCGTTGAAACCATGGGAACTGATGAGATCACCAAATGCAACACTAAAAAGGGAGAAGAGAAGGCTCAGGACAAAGCTTTGTGGGATGCCCATGGTTAGTGAGTGAGACCCAGATGGAGTTCCAACAAAGGCCTGACATTTGGAGAACTAGCAGACAGCAATGTCAGGAAAATATAGAGAGAAGACAGTGTCAAGGAAAAGAAGGTAATTGATGGTGTCCGACGATGCAAAGAAAGAAATTTTCTTAGTTGAAAAATGAAACAGCCTTTTTTCTTCTCAGTAAGGGTGAGGACTGGAAAAAAGCCATTAGATTTGGTAATTAAGAGATCATTAGTAACTTTGGGGTGAGTAGTTTTGATTGGATGTATATTTCAGAAGATAGCCTGCAAAGGATTAAGAACAAAAGAGCAGAAAGGGAGTAGGGACACCTATTGTAGTTGGCCTTTTCAAAGAGCTTAGCCACAAAAGGGAGGAGAGACTCAGGACAGTCACTATGCCCCTTAAAATTATTCTCCATACACTAATATGGGGCGCATACATGGTGCAGTGGACAGACCATTAGGCCTGAAGTCAGAAAGACCTCATCTTAAATCTGTCCACAGACACTTACTAGCTTTGTGACCCTGGGCAAGTTGCCTAACCCTGTTTGCTTCAGTTTCCTCATCTTTAAAATGAGCCAGAAAAGGAAATGGCAAACCACTTGAGCATGTTTTCTAAGAGAACCCAAAAAGACTCATGAAGAGCTGAACATGACTGAAAATGACTAAACAACCAAAACAAATATACATGCACTTGACACCCCCATTACTCTATAAAATCTTTGAGAGAAGAGATTATTTCATTCTTTGTTTCTATATCCCCGGAATTTAGCACAATGCCTGACACATGGTAATAAATGCTCACTGATTAACTGATTGGGTACATAAAGAAAACATTCAATGTCCTTAATTCCTCTGAATGAAGCACATTCCAGACATGTTCTGTTCTGCTTTTTCAATTTTGAATGGAACATTTAAAAAGGGTCCCATTGCAATGTGAGCTGTCACTTAATAGGGACATCTGCTCCAGGAAAGATCTAACATTTCGTGTGGTCATGGAGAATTGAAATAGTTGCTTTGGTGGAAAATTTGATGATTGTGGTAAGTGAAAGAGTCAGCTGCTGTGCCCTGAGTATTGTGCCCATCCTCTCCTATTTCTCCTTTCCCCTTCTACTCAGCTCATTCTGTTTTACAGGACTCTATCCTTTAAGCTGAATCTTGTTTGAGAGTCATTCAATCATAATGCTAAAGTGTTGGGCTGGTTTCTGCATAAATCTGGGTTAGGCAAGTCAGGCTGGAGTCTTGGGTGTGTTACTATCAGAACATCGGGGATTTTCTCATTACCTTGTACTTCTGGGTGCTTCATGATGAGAAGCAGTCCATATCTCAAGGTGGAACTGGTTGTTTCTGTTCCAGCGTCAAATAAATCCATTGCTGTTATTGCCAGATTTTCCAGGTCAAACACAGATTCTAGATTTTTTTGGTCCTACAGATTGGTCAGGCAGAAATAAATGAATGAAAGAACAAATGAATGAATGAAAAGATAAAGAAATGAATGAATAAAAAGTAGAATTGCAGTAAGAAGTATTAACAAAAGACCTCTGGGTCCCAAAAGAGGGATCCTAAATTAAACAGAGTCCAATCACTGATAACAAAGCATTTATGCATTTATTGTCTGAGAAGAAGCACTTGCAAGAAGAAACTTTGCAGGACAGGAGAGAGACACACACACAGAAAGGGAGGGAGAGCGAGAGAGCGAGAGCGAGCGAGAGAGAGAGAGAGAGAGAGAGAGAGAGAGAGAGAGAGAGAGAGGCAGACAGACAGAGAACAGAGACGGAGATAGAGAGACAGGGGCACAAAGAGACAGAGACAGTTCACAGCTGCTCAAAGGGGAGCAAGAAAAGAGTGAGATATTTATGGTTTCTCGAGGTTTGGGGCAGGGAGTGGGGGTGGGGTTAAGGGTTAGGAACATCGGTAGATACAATAAGCCAGGGTATTTATAAAGTCCTGAGCAAGGTCTTGACTCTGCAGCTGCTGCTCAAAGTTGCCTATGAGATGTTTGGTTTCTAGCAGCTACAGGCATCTCCAAATTTGGCTAGACTTTACTTGCAAAGGATCACTGGTATGTCAAGCAGCTCTGAGCCTCAGAAATCCTTCTAATTGGCTGATTGTTGTGTAACTCCAATGTCCTGCTCCCTTGTGAAGAAGGGAAGTTCTAACATATGGAATAGGCATTACAGAACCCATGTTCACAGAAGTAATGGCCATCAAGCCAGCCATAGACAACAGTTGAGAGGAAAGAATCTTGACTTTAGTTCCCTTCCTCCTTGCCCAGCTACTTCTGGAATTCACTCTTTTCTAGAGGAGATGAGAGCATACATAATGCTTCTTGCTAGTCAGGTCACAGTTCTGCCCCTATTAAACAGTGTTTTAGACTTCTTTGTCTATCCTCTTCCCCATCAGAACCTGCTCTTAGTCTACTATGATGTTGGAAAGGATCTGGCACAATAATGCTTACTAAGGTATCTGTAGAGAAATTGAAAAAGAATCTTTTTGGTATTTTAGCTGGGTTTGTGGGCCTTTGGCTTAGGAACTGTCTTGACTTGTCAATATTTCCTTGAAGCTCACCTAGAATATATCAAGCCTCATCCAGTTGGTGTCAGAGGGCCTATATAGGGAACCCAACAGAGCAAAACGTGGGAAGTTGGGTGGGAGTACTTATGAAGTAGCAGCACAGATGGCAAGATGGTCAAAGAAGATGATTGAATTGAATGTGAAATATCTGGGGCTGGCTATGTAGTTCATATTGTGTTTACTTATTCACTAATCAAGATATATTAGGGTAGTAATTCCAAAGTCAAGAGGACTCTCCTCTGGAAAACGGCTAATGAACCCTTGTTTGTTAATGAAGAGAAAACCTACTACTTCCTGAGACATTCTAGTCTCCTTTTGGTCCACTCTAGTTCTTACAAAATTTTTAATTTTATCAAGCCTGTCATTCTGTCTGCAACTTTTGACCTTTACTCCTAATTCTGTCTGTTAGGATAAGCAGTAGAAGGCCAATTTTTCTTCTACTTGTTATTCTTTCAAGTACTCTTCCATTTAAATTTTCATTCTCCAGGTGAAGCATTGTTGATTCCTTCAACCAATTCCCATATGACATAATGTCAGACCCATTAACCATCCTGAATGACCTTTTCTGGATGCTCCATAGCTAGCTAATATCCTTTCTCAAATTTGCTACAAAATGACCGTAATAAGGTCGATATGGTATGAGCAGGAAAGAGCACACGGCAACAGGACAACCACATCTCACCCCCTCAGTCCTTCCTCTGGCTCTACTCTTGAATCTCTGGACATTCTGCTATGCAGAATCAGGCTTCTCACCCTAGAAGATACTGCCACCTCTGTTGTCTTCTTAGATCCTGGAAGATGTCTCTTCCTCTGCATTCCTAACCTCTGATTAGTTATTTTTTTCTTAAGTCACCATTTTGAGGAAGTGATCAGGTTATCCCCATACTCACTCTCTCAGTACTTCACCCATATCTACTCCTGACTGTACTCCTCCCTGCCCTAGTAGCCTTCCTACTCTTACAGGTCCCTTATCCTTTATGTTCCTCTCACCCTGGAAGATAGCCCAGATCCTGGAGCCCCATCTTCTGATTGATGAGTTCCTCTTGGAGCTTCCATTTTGAGTTCCTAAGAAGCACATAAGATATGCTTTTTGCCCTGAATTATTAGCTCTCTAGTCTGGGACATTATGTCTCTCTTCATGCACCCTAAGAGCCCATCAACTCTTTAGGTGACATAAAAATCTTATTTTTAGTGAGCATGGAGTTCATTAAACTTCTTAATTTTATGCCAGGTCTGCAGTCTGTTCCATGAAATACACATCTATTTTGTGAGTCAGTCAATAAACATTTATTAAGTGGCTATAATGTGTCAGACACTGTGCTAAACACTAGGGAGTATTGTCTAAAAGATGATCCTTGCTTTCAAGAAGCTCATAGTCTAATGGGAGAGATAATATGAAACAATTTTGTGCAAACAAATTTTATATATGTATATATATGTATGTATGTATATATATATATATATATATATATATATATATATATACACATATGAAATAATCAACAGAGAGAAGGCAATAGAATTCAAAGGTATTGAGGGGAAGAACTTCCTGTAGAATGTAGAATTCTATCTGTAACTTGAAAGAAGCCAGGGAAGCCAGGAGGAAGAGATAATGAGAGAGAACATTCCTGGCATAAAGGACAACCAATGAAAATGTAATGGATGTGTAGCTGGAGGTGATTTTTTTTGTTATTTGTATGTTTGAGGAAGATCAAGTAGCCCAGTATCACTGGATTACACAATATATATGGGTATTTTGAGAGTTCAACAACACACAAAACCTTGGAGAAGAGGCAGGCTATAAAGGACTTTAAATGTCCAATAAAAGACTTTATAGTTGATTTTGGAGGAAACAGACAGCTCTCAGAATTTATTGAATAGGGATTGGACATGGTCCGACCTGAACTTCAGGAAGATCATTGTGACAGCTGAGTGGAAAATGGATTGGAGGGGGAGGAAACTTGCGACAGGGAGAGCATCTAATAGGCTATTATAATAGTACTGCCATGAATTGATGAGGGCCTGCAGAAGACAGGTAACAGCATCAGAGGAGAGAAGGGGATGTATCTGAGAGGCACTATGAATGTAAAATTGATAGGACTTGGCAACTGAATAGGTATGAGGGGTGAGAGTGAGTACTTGAAGATGACATTGAGGTTGCAAGCATGCATGACTGGGAAGATGGCTGCACTCTTAATGGTAATTGGAACATCACTAATAAGGGAGGGTTTCTTTAATAATGATTTCAGGTTTGGATATGCTGAATGTAAGATGTTTATGAGACATCTGTTTCAAGATGTCCAGTAGGAAGTTGGAGACGTGATGCTACAGATCATCAGAGAGGTTAAGGGGGGATAAATAAATTTGGGAATCATCAACAAAGAGATGATTGAATCCATGGCAGGTAATGAGATCACCAAATAAAATAGTATAGAGGAAAAAAAAGAGAAGAAGTCCAGCACAGAGCCCTGAGGAATACCCTAGGTTAGTTCACATGACCTGGGTTAAGATCCAGCAAAGAACAGTGAGTTGTGGTCATAAGGAGAATTACTGGGGATAGTAATGTCATAAACCAAGAGAGAAGATAGTATCAAGTAAAAGAGGGTAAACGTCAGTGTCAAAGGCTGTAGAGAGTTAAAGAAAGATGAGGTTTGAGAAAAGTTCGTTAGATTTAGCAATTAAATGATCATTAATAAAATAATAGAGACTTATTTCTTTTCAGGTGATTTATAGCAGAGGTTTCAATACGTAGTCCACAGACTGTGTGCAGTCATAACACTTCCTAGTGTAGGTCCACACAAGATTAAAATGTAATTGGGAAATATTTAACAAAATAAATAAAAATACAGCAGGCCATACATAATGTTGATATGTAGTTTTCTAAGTGCACACATGATCTGCAGGGATCTTTATATATGGTTTAGCAGCTCCCATTTCTATTTTAGTTTGATACCATTTATCTAAAGTGTACTACAATGAAGGGCAGCTAGGTGGTGCAGTAGATAGAGTACCAAGCCTGGAGTTAGAAAGAATTATCTACCTGAGTTTAAATCTGCCCTCAGACATTTGTTGCCTGTGTAAACCTGAGAAATTCCCTTAATCCCATTTGCCCCAGCCTCCTCATTTGTAAAATGAGCTAGAGAAGGAAATAGGAAGCCACTCCAGTATCTTTGCCAAGAAAACTCCAAAATGGTCACAAACAGTCAGACACAACTGAAAAACAACTAAATAACAACATGAGCAGAAAAGACATGTGACCAGTGGGTCGATTAATACTACGGATTCTGGCCTTTACCAACTGAAATTGTTCCCACAGGAGTTATTATATTCCCAAAGATACTGATGATCACTTAATTGCCAAATCTAATGGGCTTTCCTCAAAATTGATCTTTCTTAACCTCTCTGCAGCTTTTGACATCGTTCTTTGCCCTCTTCTTCCTGATAACTCTTTTTTTTCCCCTCTAGGCTTTCATAAGTACTCTCTCTGAGTTCTCCTCCTACTTATCTGACCACTTTTCAGACTCCTTTGCTGCATCTTCATCCAGTTTATGTACACTAACCTTGGGTATTCCACAGGGCTTTGTCCTGGGAGCTCTATTCTCTCCTCTCCTCTCCTCTTCTTTCTGTATATTATTTCATTTGGTGAATCAGCTCTCATGAATTCAGTTGTCATGTCTTTGGTGATGAATCAGATCTACTTATCCCAGCCCTTAAATTTCTTTTGAACTTCCACTCTCGCACTGCCAACTGCTTATTGAATATTTGGAATTTTATGCCCTGTAGACTTAAACCATATATATCCCAAACTGAACTCATTATCTTTTCTCCCCACCCTCTCAAGTCTACTCCCTTACAAACTTCTCTATTACTGTGAATGGCATCACCATCCTCCAAATTATCCTCAATTTCTCTCTCTCCCTAACCCCATCCCCATGTATAATTTCTTGCCAAAGTCTGTCAATTTTAACTTAGTAACATTATTCCTACTTCTCTACTCTCATACTGCCACTTCACCTGAAAGACATGAACATTACTACTCTGTTGGTAAATGGGATATTGTTGCAATCATCATGAAATTCACTTTGTAATTATACAAGTTACTAAACTGTTCATTTCTTTTGTTACAGGAATTCCACTGCTGGGCATATACTTCAAAGAGATAAAATACTATGTATGTATGTATGCATGCATGCGTGCATGTACATATGGACATATGCATACACATACATATTTAAATATTAGATATGTATATTCATATAGAATATACATATATGTGTATATGATTGATATATTATCTCTCTAGTCATCACGACATTAGATCATGAAAGCAGAGAGTTTAGAAACATGAATTCTATCAATTGAGAAATGATAGAATGAATTAATAAATTTTAGTGTCTAAATGTAGTAGAATATCACTGGGTAGTAAGAGAACATTGAGAAGATTTGTATGAGCTGATAAAGAATGAAATGAGCAGAACCCAAATAACAATAGAAACAATTACTGTAGCAAATTCAACAAAAAGATCACTGAAACGGAGCTGAATAACACACAACTGAATAGTTCCTAATCACACCGAGTATTGCTAATGAACCATTTCCCACCTCATTTACTAGAAACAAAGGATAGACTGCTTTGTTAGACAGGATCACTTCATATGGTTGTCTCTTTTCCTTCTGTTCATGTAAAAGCTTAACTAGGGAAGGAAAAGGATTTCTAGAATAACTGTGAGGAGAAAACTAAACTTGTCAATAAAATCTATTATTAAGAGAGCAGAAATGACTATTTCCCATAAACCATTTCCCAAGTGTACATTACCTGCTTCATTTTGTAGAGGAAGCAGTCAATGTAATTCTTAAGATTGTTAGGATCCAGGATCTCTTGGTGTTTCTTTGTTTTCTCCAAAATAAACTCTTTAAGTATATTGATATTTGAAAAAAATATCTTGTGAAGTCCAGGAAAGTAGCGGAAGAGCCAAGGGAAATTATTATAAAGCTATAAAAGTATTATATATCAGGGAGAGAGAGGAGAGAGAAAAGTATTATATATGAGTTTACTCTTGTTGTGTAAAAACCGTTTACATAGTTACAATTTTACAATTGTTTAAAATTATATTTGTTTCTTTGGAAGGGAAAAGGACTTATCTCCTATAACAACATGCTAGTTTAGAATAGTAATTGCTTGGAAAGCTATTGAGTCTTGTAACTAGAAATATTTAGAGAGGAATACTTTGAATGGAGATCAGGAAAAAGAAAGCATTTATTATGATTTAGGGAAGTGACACCAAACGTCTGAAGTAGTGGTGCAGAAATATGCAAGATGCTATCCAGTCCTCAGCTCAGCACCTTTTCACATGTAAGGAAAAAAGTAAATAGCATATCAGAGCAGTGTCTTTAAAGTTGACCTCAAAGCCAAGAAACCTGGGTTCAAGAGCTACCTTTGACACATACTAGCTTTGTGAGCCTGGTCAAGTCACTTAATCTCCCAATGTTCTAGGTCAGAGGGGTCAAAAGTGGCCAATGGCCCAGCCAGATTAAAATGTAATTGGGAAATATTTAACAAAATAAACAAAATATGATAGAACATATATATGTAGTTTTCTAAGTCAATATGCAGCCGACAGGGATCTTTATGTATGAATTAGTGGCTCCCCATTGCTCTTTGAGTTTTATAACACTGTTCTAGGTAACACTCTAAGATTATAATTTGCTAAAAGGTTGTTGAACTGCTTTGGTTAAATGAATTTCCTCATCTAGGGGTTGACTACATTGGTGAAATCATAGATTCTGTTGTTATCCCTATCCTCCTCTATATCCCTGATATTATACTCCCAGGATGGATAAGTAGGGTTTTGCCACAGGTTGACCCAGGCACTGGGGGAGGAAATTCACTGCAGCCCCTTCCTGGTGAATCTGGCTGCATGTGGAGGGAAAGGTTCAGTGTCATCTATAGAAGTACTCTTTTCTGTAGGCTCAGGCTTCCTGTGCATTCTATGGAAAGGGCTGTTCGCCACAATCTGTAGACAAGCCATGGGCTACCCTATGTAGTCAACATCATTGTCCAACCCAAACAATTATTGATTCATCCAGTATTTTGAATGTATCCGTCCAGTACTATGCAAGACACTAGAAACACAGGCATAAAAGGATTACATTTTGTTTGTATTCAAAGCATTCTGGCTTTGAAGGGCCTGACAAAACAGCTAGGTTTTACAAACACAAATTAGCTAGAAAAAAAAACAATACAAAAAAGACTAGACATATTCAGGTGATAGAGTAGAAGAATAGTAATTACAATCATAACAAAGTAAAATTAATAATTGGTACAGAGCCATTCTGATAGGAACATCTGGGTTGAATTCCTGTTTCTGGACTGTACGGTTGGAGGCATGACCCTGGCCATGTCTCTTACACTCCCAGTGACCTCAGATAATTCTCTAAGACCCTAAATTATAGAGAAGCTACCGATGTGCTTGTTCACTCACCAAGATTTCCCTAATCCAAACTGGATTAGCATCAGATAACCTCATAGTTAACATACATGCAAAATTGTAAGGTCTTCAAAGCACTTGATGCATATTTTCTCCTTTGATGTTGACAATAAACCTGTGAAGTGGGGGCTATTTTTATCTACATTTTACAGATGAAATGCTTTGTTCAGAGTCACACAGACACGGAGAGGCAAGATGCAATCTCAGCTTACCAGGACACAAAGTCAATTTCTGGCCCTGATGACAGAGTGTTACGTAAAATGGGCAAAGTTTATTCTCTGGGGAAAGGAGGGTTTGTTCCCTTTGAAGTAAGCTTCTTTTTGACCCCTTTCATGAACTGGACAATTTTAAAATAAAATAAATACTTGTTTCCTGTTAACAGCTGCTTCACTGCACTATAGAACTGCTGGAGTAGTACCCTGCTTTGAGATAAATTTGCCAAAGCTATAAACATGATGAGATGTTGTGATGCAATATGATGTATTATAATAATAAATGGAGCAGAAATCTAGAGCCTTCTAGGCAACTCCAATATTTGTCCTTGTGGAAACTTCTCTTACATAACTTCTCTCAGTCTCAATTTCCTTATCAACAATATGGTTAAATAAAGAGACAGCAAGGTTTTCACACACACACACACACACACACACACACACACACGCACTGTAAAAGAATGGCAGATGGAGTACAATGACTTTTGTTATGTCTCTAATTCAAGAGTCTCAGTAATTTTTAACCCTAAGTGAGATAACTATAAAGCTATATTGAATTATGGTTCTGGCTCTGGCAAAGAAAAAGCAGATTTTAGGTTGGAGACACTCTGCCTAGAATTTTTTTGAGGCCCTTATTTGGATGGTGACTCCAAATTTTGACTATGTAATAAAAGAACTTCCTATTGCCCATTTCAAGGAAAGGCTTTCTGGTCAGCACATGTTAGCAGACAGAAACTGAAAGGGCTGGCAAGTGATCCTGACGGAGCCATCAGAGCAATTGCCACAAAAGACTACACAAGAAAATCAATCAGCGGCTGTGTACTGTGTGAACCCGGAACTATGTACCCAGAGTCAGCCACAAGATAGTAGAAAAACACATTCAGTAAACAAGGTCAATTGAGTAACATGCCCAACATTGCTAGAAGACAAATTATTTTGATGCATCAAAAGCTTGTTACCTGCATGTTCCCTGACTGTCCATATGCTCTACATGTGAATCCCTACATGTGTGCTCTGGTGACACGTGTTCCTTACATTTCTACTACTTATGCACTATTGTTATTCATGCATTCTTTCTACTGATGATATGTTTTTGTAGATGAGTGTGCCTCAGATATATGCAATGAATGTTCTTCTGCTAGATTTATCACCATTTTTTGTGATTAAATGTTTTATTTTGGATTAATTGTGTTCTCAGGATAACTGGTAAAACTAAATGTGTCATTCTTGACTTGTAAGTTAGGATTTTAAGTAGATGCAAAAGCAGAGAATATAGGATCTTAAATATGGCATAGTTTTTCATTGTCTTTTTGGAAGGGGCTCTCACTTGTGATGTTAAATGTGTCATTATGCTTACATTGACTTAACCTTGGTTTTGTTTACATAATTTGCTTTATAACCCTTAGACTGCTACATGAACTTGAGATCCTGCTCCTGCTGCCACCACCACTGCCAATAACACCACCAGGAATTTTAGATTCTTTTTTGAAAGCTTCCTTTACCTCTACTGATTATAATTTTATGGATGACATGAGTATTTCTAGAGCCCCATTAATATAGTCCTGCATAAGACTTTGTTGAAGAGACAATGACTTCACACCATGCATGACCTTATGCTTGTGTGGAAGTTTTCTGGTAATAGGCATTGCTGAAGAGCCTTCTTCCCCTTTGCTTTGCAAAAATGTGATGACCAAGTGCACCACTAAAGGATGACTCTGGCCTTACCTGAACCACTGGTGAGTTCAGTAGAATAAAATTGTCATTTAATATCCTCATCATAGAAAGAAATTCCTCATTGTCATAGTTGAAACGCTGATGGAAGAGGATGGAGCTGATAACATTGCAAGGGGCACATCCAAGGATGAAGGTTGGGTCAAAGGGTTGACCTAATGATAAAGCAATCAAATAAGGTAAAGAACAAGTTTAATGATAATATTTTTAATCAACCAACATTAGGATGGCAAGGAAAAGACTTCTAATCTGATTATGGCATTGCATTCCCTCAATGCTGATATAATGCATCTCTCCTGGACTTTTTCCCTTCTCTATATTTAGGACAGAAACAGTTTATGAAACATGATAAAACTAGGGAGAAATCTTATCTGCTGCTCTGCTTCCCTCCATAAAGTTTCCACCTACTCATAGAGATGGACATTGGTAAATAAAGTGACAGAGGGATTTGGAATTGGTATGTTACTTTACAGGACCCATGCTTCTAAGAAATATTCAATGATAACCATTTGTTTTCCTCAGTTCCTCCAAAAGGAACTGAGCTTCCTCCTGGATACGCTCCTCAATGCTCCTCTTCCCCATTCCAAAGTTCCTCAGTGTCATCAGGGAAAATCGGCGGATTTGTTTCCACTTTTCTCCATGGCTGAAAACAATTCCTAGGAAAAGAATGAACCAAGCATGAAGTTGACAATTCTATTTTGCTTAAAGTAGAATTTTGATTTTTATCATTGTATCCAGCTAGGTTAAAGATCATTGTTAAGTTGTTCTTCTATTTCTTACCTTTCCACCTTCACCAATTTTCCTGGAAGAATCTGAAACTTACCATGTCCTTTGTAAATGTCATCAAATATTGGTATTTTTCCCCTGCCTCCAAAAATGTCTCCCTGATCAATCAGAGCTTCCTTCAGTGCCTTGTATCCATGTAGAATCACCATTGGCTGAGACCCAACATACACAGTAATCACAGGGCCATACTTTTCAGATAGCTGGGAAAAGAGATATAAGAGATATAAGAAGCAACTCAAGAAACAGTGCTCAACCTGATAATGGGTATGATTGGCCTTCTTAGCAAGTGCTAAGAAATGTAAAGCACATGACTATGTTTGCCCTGCAACTGAACCTTCATATATGCATTGACTATTCCAAATATAAAGTGATCTCTTTGAAAGAACTCTCCTGATCTTCTGTTCTCCATACCTTTAACTGTCCTTGGAACACAATAAGTGTTATATAAAAGTGTTTTTTTTTCATTTAGGAAATTACATCAAGTAGAAAGAGCATTGGCTTAGGAGGCATGGGACCCTTGTTCTAATCCAAGTTCTGTTGCAAATCAGACATGTAGTTTGGTTAAATTCGTGGCGCCATCCCAGGTTTCATTTTTCCTTCTCTGTAAAATAAGGGGTTTAGAGTGGATTCAACTCCACTGAAAATATTTTTATCAAGTACTTTCTGTGTAATCCTATAGAGATGACTTATCAGGGCATGATGCTGATCTTGGGTTTTTTAAGGGGATGCCACTAGAATGGAAAGACTTAAAGGGAGTGAAGAGAATAATATTTATATAGTGCCTACTGTGTGTAAGATACTACAGTAAGTGCTTTTTACAAAAGTTTTCTCATTAAATCCTCACAAAAACCCGCAAGGTAGGTGCTATTATTATAATAACCATTACACAGTTGAGAAAACTGAGATAAGCAAGGATTAAGTGACTTAACCAGGGTTCAGTTGCTAGTAAATGGCTAAGTCTGGATTTGAACTCAGGTCTTCCTTACTTCAGGCTCAGTACTCTTTGCATTGCATCACCACTTATCTCAAGCTATGATTGCTTCAATAGAATTTTCTCAGGCTTAATCCTGCTCAATTTCTGGTCTGCAAGTTTTTGAAACAATGGGAAACTTCCTTCTTAAAACACACTCTCCTTTTTTTGCCTTCCCTGACACTGTTCTCTCTGAGCCAGTCTAGTTTTCTCTCCTTGGGCCATCCTGTACCATACTGGGCCTTCTTCTCTTTTCCCTATACTCTTTCCTTGAGCAATCTTACCAGCTTCCATGGATTCAGTTGTCTCCAAGTGTATAATTCAAAAATAGATACATATCCATCATTAATCTATTTACTGAACTTCAGTCTTATGTTGCTAACTGCCTGGTGGACACTTGTACCAAAATATCCTATAGCCAGCTCATTCAACATGTCTAAATGAGATTAACATTTTCCCCAAGAATCACAGAATTTGAGAGTTGGAAAGGAACTCATTGTCTACCCAATCCAACCTATAAGCTAAAGGGATTCCCCCTGTAATATATCCTAAAAGTGGTTATCTAACCCTAAACCTAGCCATCCTCTGACTTTTTTGTCATCTTCTTTTTTGTTGTTGGTAATATCATTCTCCCAGTCATCTAGGTTCACAACATTGGAATCACTCTTGGATCTTTCTTCACTCTTCATCACCTCTTACCTGTCCTATTTTGGTAGCCCTGATTAGTCTCCCTGCCTCAAATCTATCCCTTTCCAATCCATCTTCCATACATGATATTTTTACCTCTCTCTTTCTCTCTCCCTCACTTTGCCTTTCCCTCTCCCCCTTCTTCCTCCCCCCATTATCTCTTTCTATCCCATCTCTAATTAATTTACACGTACTTTGTTTTTACATGATTGTGCAGTGTTATACATGCCCCTCATCCCTTAGGTTTCAAACTGCTGGAGGAAAAGGATTGTCTCTTTTCTTTATCTCTCTAATCTTTAATACCTAAGCCAGTATCTTACACACACTGTAGGAGCTTAATAATTGTTAAATTGAACTGAAACATGGGCCTATTTTGGTTCTGAGAGGTAAGAGTTCTCTATTATATTCCTGGAATGAGGTCTACATTTCATTTTCCAAACTGTGCCCCATGAACTTCAGTCATCCTCCTTATCACCCTTCCTGAACTCTGCCCATAGGATTCTGGGCATTGACAGGTATCTTTTCAACTTATCTTATTTGGAAACAAGCTTCCATGTCACTTCTTTGTAATCTCAAAACTATGCCACAGAATCACTCTCCTCTGCTTCACTAAATCCCCATTCTTAGTTTTCTCCTCCCCACATCTCACTGATGGCAGGGACAGTCTTATGTGCTTCTATTTGAATTCCCAATTCAGCACAGTTCTGTGCACATAATAAGTTCTTAATACATTTTCCTCATTTTCATTCGTTCACTTGTTTATTTCTTCACTCAAGATCAGCTTAAGTGAGTTCAGAGGGACCCATCTCCAGAAGATTGGACACTAGGGAAAAAAATGTTGAGGGTGCAACAGGCATGCTAAAGTATTACTTAAGGCCTTAATGAGTGGTGATCTGTGTGGGTGGAGGCAATTCCCCCAATGAGCTCACAGATCTCTGGAAATATTGGATTGTATAGTTCTTGCTGTGAAGAAATTTAGGATTGTATAGTAGAGATAACATTTATACTTCATGGAACTTTCTACCTTAACTGTTCATTTTCCATCAGCTGCTCTGCTGGAGTTTGGCTCCACAAAAATCAAATCTCCCTCAGGAATAGGTGAAATCAGAAAAAATAAACTAATATTTATAAAGTGTAATACGTTTAACCTCAAAAAATCTTATCTGACCGTTATGGGTAGATGTTCCACTAAGTCCTACTCTGATGTCTCATGGTAATATGGAGGTAACCCTGTTGTACAGAATGTAAGCTCTACAGTTTCTGGTATGAAGAAGAGTCTCTGAGTATCTCTCCAGAAACAGATTTATTTTGATGTTAATGCACCAACTCAGTTAAACACAGAGAAGTTCATTACTGGGAAGGTGAGTACTTGGAAATAAATTCTTTGACTTTGACAACCCATAAGAAGAAAAGCATCAAAATGGATTTCATTCTCCTTTGGCCTACTTTTGTTTCACTAGCAATGGCAAGAGTCGTAATGGAAAAGGGGAAAAAGCATGGTAAAATCATATAGACCATCTATAAACATGAAATTTTGGTTGGTCCTTGATGAGAGATATTTGTCTAACTGTTATGCTACTGGAAGAACAGTGACATACTGATATTAACATTCTTAAAGTGAACAAACAAGAAGATGAAGTTTTAAGTGAATGAAATGATGGCCTACAGGTTTTCCTTAGGAAGCAAAGCAAGAAAATTGGCAGAGTTAGGTTCATTGTGTTTCCAAAGGCAATAAGGAAGCTAATTAAATGGAATACTTAATTATCTTATCATGCAATGCTAATGCTAGAGTAAAACTAGTGCCGCATGGGTAACTGCAGATATTATTTTCTGTTGCAGAAGAAGAATAGGTAGAGAAGTCCATAAAGAAAGTGACAAGGCCATTCAAACCATGATAAGACATATTTTTGTACCTGGTGAGTTTAATGCCTAGGTTGGGACAAAGGAAGATGGTAAAGGAAAATAAAAGAAAGTTAAAACTTCTTCATGCCAATGCATCATGAGTATTTTATTAAGAAAAGTGTAGGAAGGCAATGGATTTAATGAATACTAAACTATATAAAAATTTTATTTACTACATTGTAATAGATGTCCAGCTGCCAATATGGGAAATTTTTAGAATAAGCTATATGTGTGCAATGAGGTCATAAAATCATTTCAGTACCAGTCAACATCATTTGGCAGTTTAATGAGAAATAGACACAGCTTGTAACAGTAAAACCTGTTAAAGTTTCAAATATATAAAAAATGATAAAAAAAAAAAACCACAAGCCTGTAAAAACAGGAAATGGACAGAGGCAAAGATATTAACCTTGAATATATACATTCCATGCAAGTTTAACTGGTGTAAAGCAGATCCCCCAAAGCCAAAGAGCCGAGATACCAGCTTAGCCCATAAGCATGACATTTTTGCTGCATATACAGATAGGAAAATAGAAGTTTAGAATACAAAGTAAGTGGTAATACAATATAGAAGAGAACAGCGGAGGAAGGTAAACAGTAATGCTTAATAAATAGTGAAAGGCCATAGAAGCAGATGTGATACAAAATAAAGTGAGCAGAATCATGAAAATAATATTGATGATGACTACAGAGATATTAATGGGAATAACAATAATTGCTAGCAGTTATATAGTGCTTATTATGTGTCAGGAACTGCGCTAAACACTTTGCAAATAGTATCTCACTTTATTTTCACATCAGCCCTGGGAAAGAGATACTATTATTATAGGATTTTACAGTTGAGGGAACGAAGGAAAAAAGATTAAGTGACTTGACCAAGGTCACACAGTTAATCCTTTTCTGATGCCAGATTTGAACTCCAGTCTTCCTCACTCCAGCCCCAGTACTTGATTCACTCTGCCTTCTAGTTGGGTGGGGAGGTCGTTGGGAAGAATAACAACAGTAAGGATTTGCTCACCCACACATTAAGATCAAGTAAGATTTCTTTATAAATTCACATACAGCAATATATTGGCTCAATTCCCTTTTGATTATTCATGACAAAAAACATACATCAAGGAGAAATATGCTCTCCATTGGTTTTTGGGATTTTCCATTTGAATAGAAGCCCAGGACTTCTAGGTTAAATTCAAATGGAACTGATTCACTGTAAATTCTAGATGCTCCTGTTTGTTAATGGCATTTCACTGATTGAATCAAACCTAGAACACTAGAAAGCCACCTCTGTATGATACATGATTATTCAAGATGTTAGCCTAATGATTCATAGAAGAAAAATTAAATTAATAATAAATATTTATTGTACAGACAAAGACATGGTTCAACATATGTTCCATTGAGTTATCACATTTGGTACAAATAACTTGTAGAAGCCCTGCATATGGGCAGTGAGATAGACCCAGAATTTTGTAATCCACAAGTCAAACAATAAGCATTTATTAAGTACCACTACATACTAACCATTGCCATATGTGCTGGGGATTTTTTAAAAAAAAGGCAAAAGACAATCCTTGCTTTCAAGTCACTCACAGTCTAATGAGGGGGGGGAGACACAACATGAAAACAACATTGGAAAAAACAATACATATTTATATATGCATCTACATATACATATGATAAATTAGAAATAATAAATAAATAATACTAGCATTAAGTTGGGGGAATTTAGAGAAAGATTTTTAATAGAAAATGGGATTTTAGATGGGTCTTCAAGAAAGCCATGAAGTAGAGATGAGGAAGGAGAGTTTTCTAGGTAAGGAGACTAGTCAGTGAAGATGCCTGGGGTATGGAAAGGGAAGTCTTGTGCAAAGAACAGCAAGGAGGCCAATGTCATTGACTCACTGGGTACTTAATGGAGGAAATAGATAGGGAATTGGGTATACAAAGACTGGTGAGGTAGAAGGGGGCCAGGTTATAAAGCGCTTTGCTGAAAAATATGATTTTATATTTAGCAAAATATGTTTAAAAATAAATATACTCCTTGGAGTAATGTGTGTATTTGTACAAATATTTCAGTTTCACAACCTTGGAAGAATCAAAATTGTCAATGAGTCAAAGGTTAAAGCAGAAATGGCATGTGGGACAAAAGTGGAGTTCAGGATATTTCCAGTGATTATTTAATCATAAAAATGGCAAAGAATATTATTTAGGACACTTGATGAGAAAAAAAGCAGTTCAGTCATAGAGCAAAGGATAATATAGGGATTTCCAAAGTACTACACTAATAACTGTGAAATATAAGTAGTCTTAGAGCAGTAGTTCTTAACCTTCTCTGTCATAGATTACCTTGGCAGTCTGATGAAGTAAGCCTATGTTCCCTTTTCCTGAGGTGAATGTTTTAAAATTAGTAAAATAAAATATGTAGAATTATAAACCAAGCCAATTATATTAAATTATAGTTATCAAAATATTTTTCTTACCCAAGTTGAATCTGCTGAAATCAAGAAGTCAGTGGGACCCAGGTTAAAAGCCCTTGACCTAGAGGAAGGCTGCTAGCATGGGTAGACACACTATGGCTAATGAGTAGGAGAACACAGACAGAATTTGCATAGAATGAGAAGACATTTCAAAGTTGCAACCTACACAATTGAGGGAAATGCCTAAATCAATGAGAACACAGCTTCATTGGTATATTTAAGAAGCATTAAGATCATTGTGCTTTTGATTTATTTTATACTTTAAAGGAGGAGGGAAAGATTTGAGATTTCACTGCTATAGAAACTCCCAGTAAGGAAACTCTTTACCAATGTAGATTGGTACCTTTTCTGCACTTTGCAGTTGTAAAGAGTTGCCTGGGTTACTGAGAGATTAAGTTACCTGCCCAGGGCCACATAGCCAGTTAAGTGTCAGAGGCAGGATTTGAATTCAGGTCTTTCTGACTTCTGTAACAATTCTCTGTGCCTTAAATCAGAGTTGACTACTAAATGACATTAAAAGAAGCAAAATATCCTGGTTAAGGAAGGTGATTGTCCTGCTATACTCTGTTCTGGTCAGATTACATTTGGATTAAGTGTGTTCAATTCTGAGTGTTGAAATTAAGGATGGACATTCATAAGCTGGCATGTATTGAGAGATTAGCTAAAGTAATAAGGAGACTCAAATATCAAGCTGTGCAAAGATTAATTGAAGGAAATAAGGATTTTTAGCCTCAAAGAACAGATTTAAGAGGAATATGATAACCAGTTCTTTGAAGGGCTATCAAATGTCGTAGGGACTGGACTTATTTTTCTAGGCCACAGAAACCAGAAGGAAGAACATTGGGTTGGAGGCTGAAAAAAGGCAGTTTTCAGCAGGATAGATAGAAAAAAAATTCTTCTCAATTAGATCTATCTTAAAGGAGAATGGACCATCCCGCAGGAAGTAATGAGTTTCCTCTTCATTTGGTATCTTGAAGGAAATTTGAGATTATCTTGTCCAGCATCCCAATTCTGGACATGAAGGAATTGAACCATAAAGACTTTCCATTACTTGCCCAAGGTCACACAGATTTTTAAATATCAGATCTAAGATATGAATCCAAATTTTCTGACTCCAAATCTAGTGCTAATACCTGTTTAATAGAGGATTTCAACCTTTTTGTGTCATGGACCCCACTGACAATCTGATGAAACCTACCAACCTCTTCTCAGAATAATGTATTTTTAAAATTTGTGATAGATGGAAATAGCAAATTGCATCATAGAAATGATGTGTTTTCTTTCCTTTTCAAGTTCATGGATCCCTGGAAATCTATCAATTAACCCATGAAAATCGATAGACAGCAGGTTAAGAACACCTGGTCTATAACATCTTTCCTACTCTGACTATATGACTATGTGATAAAAGTGGGTTGGCCTAGATAGCCTCTGAGATTAAGCACCCCCAACTCTAAGATTCTGTAATTCGTTGATTTCAAAGCTATTAGTACTGAACCTCCTTGACCACCTGGTCAGGCTTCAGATATAATGGTTTAAGATGAGTGGTGGGGGCACAAGGGCTGGATTTCCCATAGTTTATCATCCTCTTTTCCTCCTGGTCCCTCAACTAAAACAATTAAAAGCAATAGCAACACAGCCTCATGGCAGAAAGTAGAGTAGAACAAGCATGTAAAGTTCTATTGTATTATTTACAGGCATAAGCATTTAAATAAGTATACAAATAAAATTTATATTTGTATTTATCATATCCTAGTGCAATTAATATGCTTGATAATACTAATCCCTATTTCTCCCATGTTTCCCATGCTTTTTTTTTTATGTCTGGAAACAAAATTTTTCAAAGTTGAGCTTATTTTTGGAATACACTCTCATTCTTGGAGATAACCTGTAGATACTTGCAAAGACTTAAGTATAATCATGAACATACACACACATATACATGCAGACATACATACATAGTCAGTATTCAGTTTTGTCTACAATTTATACTCTTTAAAAAACTGTCTGACTTATTCTTTAAGGCAACGTCATCCTGACTCTGGGTCTAGTGCTCCAGCCATCATGCCACTACTATCTCTCATTATGTCATGAAAACCTTTTTGGGATCTTTGTTTCTAATCCCCAAACATCCTAGAATAAGCCACGAGATGTCATTACTAGAGGGCTCCACTTAATGGAGTCCAACCACAAGATTTAGTCCCCTTACCTTGCAGAGAGATGTAGAGAAGTCCTTCATGTCTAGCTGAAGCAAATTTCCAATGAGGGGGAGAGGAGCTGGCCCAGGAGGCAGCTTTCTTCCTTTATAATCTTTTCTCCACAGTGATAAAATGACCAAGAAAGAGACACAAACCACAAGGGTGAGAGTGGTGACTGCCCAGGGGTCCATTGCAGCAATCTGGCCACAGCTAGAAGAGGTACCACTTCAAAAACTCAAGCTTAAAATGCCTGACTTGTTTTTGTGAAGTGGGAGTGGAGGTAAATAGCCAATGAAAAGTCTGTGGTCCTACAAGTAAACAGCACATATTTTTCAGTAACTCAAAGAGCACAGGGCAATAGAGCTTATTGAATAATATCCAGTTTCAATGTTGTGGCCACCATGTCTGAACCTGAACCCTGTAATTCCCTGAATGCTGCTTGTAGGGAGCAGGGAGGAGGAAGGTGGAGAATGCAGAGGATTCATGACAATTTCATTTGTCATGTTTGATCCTTGTCCTTTACACTTGCTCTACATTTTGTCTTTGCTTGAGGTTGGCCTTAATAACAGCCAGCCTGAATCACATTTAGCTGTGAGGAGTATATGTTGTTATAGTCAGAGTACAATGTGAAAATGTAGAATACAAATTTTCCCCAGTAAGGTAAGAGCAAGATCCATTAAGCCTGGAGGGTTCCTTTGGGAAGCTTCACATCGGATGGCGTTATCTTTATTAATAATCATCTTTATCACCAAGCATTATTCTGACAAGGAACAATAAATCCAGAAAGTAGGGTTGCAAGCTTCAGAATAGATTTTTTTCTTAACAGTATTTTATTTTTCTCCAATTACATGGAAAGAATTTTCAACATTCATTTTTGTAAGATTTTGAGTTCCAAATTTTTCTCCCTCCCTTTCTTCCCTTCCTCCTCTGTATGATGACAAACAATCTGATATAGGTTATACATGTATGATCATGTTAATATATTTCCACAATAATCATGTTATAATGGAAGAATCAGAACAAAAGAGAAAAACCACGAGAAAGAAAAACAAGCGAAAATAAAATACTTCGCTTTGAATACAGACTCCATAATTCTTTCTCTGGTTGTGGATAGCATTTTCCATCACAAGTCTTCTGGAATTGTCTTGGATCACTGTATTGCTGAAAAGTCTGTGAAAGTTATTTGTTGCAAAATGTTGATAATATGGTATATGATATTCTCCTGGTTCTGCTCACTTCACTCAGCGTCAGTTTATATAAGTCTCTCCAGGATTTTCTGAAATCCTCCTGCTCATCATTTCTTATACCACAACAATATTGCATTGATTCATATACAACAACTTCTTCAGCCGTTCTACAATTGAGGGACAACCTGTCAATTTCCAATTCTTTGTCACCATAAAAACAGCTGCTATAAATATTTTTTGTACATGTGGGTCCTTTTTCCATTTTTATGATATCTTTGGGATACAGACCTATTAGTGGCATTGCTGGATCAAAGGGCATACATAGTTTTATAGCCCTTTGGGTATACTTCCAAATTGTTCTCCAGAATGGTTAGATCAGTTCATAACTCCACCAACAATGCATCAGTCTTCCAATTTTCCCATGTCTTCTCCAACATTTATCATTTTCCTGTTTTGTCATGTTAGCCAGTCTGATAGGTGTGATGTGGTACCTCAGAGCTGTTTTAATTTGCATTTCCCTAATCAGTAGTGATTTAGAGCATTTTTTCATGTGACTATAGATAGCTTTAATTTCTTCCTCTGAAAATTGCCTGTTAATATCTTTGACCATTTATTAATTGAGGAATGGCCTGCATTCTTATAAATTTGACTCAATTCTCTATGTGTTTTAGAAATGAGGCCTTTGTCAGAGACTGTGGTTTTATAATTGTTTCCCAGCTCTCTGCTCCCCTTCTAACCTTGCTTACATTGGCTTTATGAAAAACCTTTTTAATTTAATGTAACCAAAATTATCCACTTTGCATTTTATAATGTTCTTTATCTCTTGTTTGGTCATAAATTCTTCCATTCTACATAGATCTAACAGATGAACTATTCCTAGACTTCCTAATTTGCTTATGGTATCCACCCTTATATCTAAATCGTGTACCTATTTTGATTTTATCTTGGTATAGGGTGTAAGATGTTAGTCTATGCCTAGTTTCTGCCATACTATTTTCGAGTTTTCCCAGCAGTTTTTGACAAATACTGAGTTTTTATCCCAGAAGCTAGAGTCTTTGGGTTTATCAAACAGTGGATTATTATAGTCATTGACTACTGAGTCTTGTACATGTAAACTAATCCACTGATCTACCATGCTATTCCTTAGCCAGTACCATGTAATTTTGATGGTTGCTGTTTTATAATACAGTTTTAGATCTGGCATGGCTAAGACACCTTCCCTTGCATTTCTTTTAAATATTTCCCTTGATATTCTGGACCTTTTGTTCTTCCAGATGAATCTTGTTATCACTTTTTCTAGCTCTATAAAATAACTTTTTGATAGTTTTATTGGTATGGAACTGAATAAGTAAATTAATTTAGGCAGAATTGTCATTTTTATTATATTAGGTCAGCTTACCTATGAGCAACTGACATTTTTCCAGTTATTTAGATCTGACTTTGTGTGAAAAGTGTTTTGTAATTGTGTTCATATAGTTCCTAGGTTTGTCTTGGCAAGTAAACTCCCATATATTTTATATTGTCTACAGTTATTTTAAAAGGAATTTCTCTTTCTATCTATTATTGCTGGGCTTTGTTAGTAACATACAGAAATGCTGATGATTTATGTGGCTTTATTTTACATCCTGCAACTTTGCTAAAGTTGTTAATTATTTTGAGTAGTTTTTTAGTTGATTTTCTAGGATTCTCTAATTAGATAAGCACATCATCTGTAAAGAAGGATAGTTTTGTTTCTTCATTGCTTATTCTAAATCCTTCAATTTATTTTTCTTCTCTTATTTCTAAAGCTAACATTTCTTGTACAATATAGAATAAAACAGTGGTGATAATGGACATCCTTGTTTCAGCCCTGTTCTTATTGGTAGTGCTTGTAGCTTATCCCCATTACATATGATACTTACTGATGGTTATAGATAGATGCTACTTATTATTTTAAGGAAAGCTCCATTGATTCCTATGTTCTCTAGTGTCTTTAATATGAATGAGTGCTGTATTTTGTCAAAAGCTTATAATTTTCCTTCTTTATTTTCAGTCTTCATGGTTTAGGTATCCAGTGCCATATCTGTATCACAAAAAGAATTTGGCAGGATTCCATTGCCTATTTCCCCAAATAGTTTATATAGCACTGAAATTAATTGTTCTTTAAATGTTTGGTAGAATTCATTTATGAATCCATCTGGCCCTGGGGATTTTTTCTTAAAGAGTTCATTGATGGTTTATTCAATATCTTTTTTCTTAAACAGGGTTATTTAAGTATTTTATTTCCTCTTCTGTTAATCTGGAAAATTTATATTTTTGAAAACATTCATCCACGTCACTTAGGTTGTCAGATTTATTAGCGTAGAGTAGGGAAAAATAACTCCTAGTTATTGTTTTAATTTCCTCTTTTGTGGAGTGAATTCATCCTTTTTCATTCTTGATAGTGGTAATTTGGCTTCTCCTTTCATTTTGTAAATCAAAGTAATCAAAAGTTTATCTATTTTATTGTTTTTTTATAAATGCAACTTACTTTCATTTATTAATTCTATAGTTTCCTTAATTTCCGTTTTATTACTCTCTCCTTTGATTTTCATAATTTCTAATTTGATATTTAATAGTAAAGTTTCAATTTGTCCTTTTTCTAGCTTTTCTTTTAGTTTTACACACAATTCATTGATCTCCTCTTTCTCTACTTTATTCATGTAAGCATTTGGAAATATAAAATATCCCCTAAGTCCTTCTTTGACTGTATCCCATAGGTTTTGGTATGCTTTCTCATTATTGTCATTGTGTTTTTTGATGAAGTTACTGATTTTTGCTATGATTTGTTGTTTGCCCCACTCATTCTTTAGAATTAGATTGTTTGTTTCCGGTTAATTTTTTGTCTATCTTTCTGTGGCCCTTTATTACTTGTAATTTTTATTGCATCATGATCTGAAAAGGATGAATTTAATATTTCTGCCTTTCTGCATTGGATTGTGAGTTTTTTACACCCTAGAACATGGTCAATATTCATAGGTGCCATGTACTGCTGAGAAAAAGGTATATCTCTTTCTATTCCCATTCAATTTTTTTTCCCCATTCAATTTTCTGCAGAGATCTACCATATCTAACTTTTCTAAAATTCTATTCATCTCCTTAACTTTTTTCTTGTTTATTTTGTGGTTAGATTTATCTAGTTTTGAAAGGGAGAGGTTGACATCCCTCTCTAGTATAGTTTTGCAGTCTATTTCTTCCTGTAGCTCACTTAGCTTCTCTAAGAATTTGGGTGCTATACCACTTGATGCATATATGTTTAGTATTGATATTACTTCATTGTCTATGGTATCTTTTAACAAGATGTAGCTTGTTTCTTTATCTCTTAATTAGCTGTATATTGATTTTGATTTATCTAAAATTAGGAGAGCTAAACTTGCTTTGTTTACTTCGCTGAAGCATAATATATTTTTATCTAGCCTTTTACCTTTACTCTGTGGGCATCTCTCTGTTTCAAATGTGTTTCTTGTAAACAGCATATTGTAGGGTTGCAGTGTTTAATCCACTCTGCTATCCACTTCTATTTTATTGGAGAGTTAATCTCATTCACATTCAGTTATGATTACTAACTGTGTCTTTCTCTCCATCCTTTTTCCTCCCCTCCATTCATGCTTTTCTCTCTCCTTTCACCCTTTCCCTCCTCACCAGTGTTTTGCTTCTGACCACTACTTCCCTCAATCTGTCCTCCTTTCTGTCAGCCCTCTCTCTTTTCTTTCCCCTTTCCTCTTCTACTTCTTATAGGATAAGATAGATTTCTATGCCCAAGTATGATTTTCTTACTTTTTTCTTACTTTTCTATAGTTTCAATTGAGGTTTTTTCCCCTTTTGATATATCAAGCCTAAATTTATCTTTTGGTAACTTGCAGCCATTGATCCCCTGTCTGTCCTGTAAGCTCAAGAATATGACTTCCCTGATTTCCTTCTCAGGGAGATCAAATCACATAATCAATTGAAATGGATCCCAGATTAACAGGTTTTTTGAATTAAGTATAGAGGAAGTATTCAACAGAAAAACTGCCTGATCATACTTAAACAGAAAATAGGAGTTATATGCTATAA